AGCTGGGACTACAGGCGCCCGCCACCTCGCCCGGCTATTTTTTTGTGTTTTTTAGTAGAGACGGGGTTTCACCATGTTAGCCAGGATGGTCTCCATCTCCTGACCTTGTGATCCGCCCGTCTCGGCCTCCCAAAGTGCTGGGATTACAGGCTTGAGCCACCGCGCCCGGCCTCTAGCTTTCCTCTAGCTTTTTTTTAAGGCAGACTTTTGGGTCATTAATTTTAGGCCTCTCTTTCCCCCACCCAGTACTAAATTCATTTAGCTATAAATTTCCCTCCAACTATGGCTTTAGCTGCTTCCCATAAATATTAATTTGATGTGTTTTCATTATTGTTCAGTTTGATATTTTCTAGTTTCACTTGTGATTTTTTTTTTCTTTTGATCTATGGGTTATTTAAAGGGGTGTTATTTAAATTCCAAATACTTTAGGATTTTCTAGTGTTTTATTGTTATTGGTGTGCTTTTAAAGACCAGTGTGGTTGGAGAACATACTCCGTAAGATTTAAGTCTTCTGAAATGAATTAAGACTTATTTTATGGCCCAGCACATGGTCTTTTTATTTTTATTTTATTTTTTGTTTTTGTTTTTGTTTTTTTAATGAGACAAGGTTTCACTCTGTCACTTAGGCTGGAGTGCAGTGGTGCAATCTTGTCTCACCGCAGCCTCGACCTCCCAGGTTCAAGCAATTCTGCTGCCTCAGCCCCACAAGCAGCGGAGATTACAGGTGCGTGCCACCACGCCCTGTAATTTTTGTATTTTTGGTAGAGACAGGGTTTGCCATGTTGCCCAAGCTTGTCTTGAACTCCTGAGCTCAGGACATCTGCCTGCCTCAGCCTCCCAAAGTGCTAGGATTACAGGCCTGAGCCACTGCTCCTGGCCACATGGTCTATCTTTGATAGGCTTGGTAGTACACTTGAAAACTATTTATATTCTGCAGTTGTTGGGTACAATGTTCTGTAAATGTCAGATCAAATTTGTTAACAGTGTTGATTCGATTTTTCTATATCCGT